GATATCTATTGCTACCTCAAATGTTTCCGACATTATTAATGTTTAGCGAAAAAATTATATTACATTACTAACATCAATTTAAACCAGAAACATATTTAAACCAGAAATAGTTCTTGGCCCAACCTATATATTTAGTGTTACTTCCTCAGAATGTGAGTAACTCTTCAGTGGTGCTTTCTCTTTCCTACAGTTGAAATATTTTCATCCATCTTCAGATTTTTATCTCTAATATAATGAAGTGAATGAGCAAAGAAAACATTTAAATATGAGAACTTATTTAGAGAGTTATCTAAGATATTGTAGATATTGTATCATTTATTCAAACTAATACCAATAATCGTAATTCTAATGAAAACTTCATTGCAGATATTTCAATCGCGCCGAACGCGTTACATCGATCATTTACTTTGTGGAGATCGCCAGCGAAATCTTAATCATGTGTATATTTGGATATAGCATAATCATGGTTGGAACAAACAATTACAAAAATGTTGCTAAAGGTGCATCATAACACAACGTCTGGTTTCGTAATCTGTTAATGACCATATTTCAGGAATGGGAAAATAGCAATACTGCAAGTGTAATAACGTACCTTGTATTGCAAATGACAACCATAATCGACACATTCACGAATTGCTACGTTGGTCAACTTCTTATCGATGAGGTACAGCACTGATTATTACAAACAGAATTTTCTCTGAAATGACAGTATTACGATTTGCATAGTGAAACTTTTTTGTGTCTCAGGGCAATATTGTTAAAAAGATATCAAATACGTTAGACTGGTATCAACTGCCTGTGAAAAAGGCACGCTATTTGATCATAGTTATTGCTATATCGAATAACCCAATGAAAGTCACAGCAGCAAATATAATACAATTGTCTCTAATTACGTTTACTAATGTGAGTATTAGCAAAAATGTCGTCCACAAAAGTCTTTTAAAAGAACATTTCCGAAAAGAACATTTTTCGATAGGAACAAATTTATTTAATTTATCTTTATCGCTCTTCTGCACCAAAAAAACTCGAAAATTTGATTTTAAACAAACCTGAACATTATTTTGTTCATTCAAGAAACAACTCAAGTGAAATTAGTGCACTTCCTATCTTACCAATATGTATCTGTATCACAATGATAATCAAGACAAAATTCATAATAAGAAATACATTCTTATAAAACGCAGCACAATGTGATACGAATCAAGAATTCCTTTTCATCAACTGAATTATGAAGATCAATGAGTCAGAGTTTCATAATGAGGATGAACTGTTTCTGCAATATTTTCATAGTAATGACTCGAAAATTACGTCTCCTCATTCGTTTCAAGGGCATGTTATTTATGTAACACATTTTACATTGATTAATTGAAATTATTAATTAAGTACACAAAGTGCTTCAATTCTGACTCACTGTGCCCCCCTCCATGAAATATGTGAATTTTCACTTCGAATATATGAACAATAATAAGAGTGCATTTACGTAAAATACGCAATCTCTGTCGCGAATTACTGCAACGTTTTTTCTGAAAAATAAACAATTTAAAAATGGGGTACATGCAAAGCATACGTAGATTTTTGTGGATGACTGTAAATTTGTATTTTCTATTCGTACTACATGTTATAAATTCTTTTTTAGATCATGAAGACCGCAATGGGATATTTTAATGTATTACGAAGCACAATTTGAATATTTGTTGGAATGATTTCCCAATAATTTATGTAATCACAGACGAGATGTATTAATATACCAAGCATCTTATGAGATTTCGTATTGCCTTAAAACGCATATATTAGAAAATCACTGGTTTCTTATCGCACTCTTTGCTTAAACAATGGGGAATTGGGGAACTACATGAAGTAAAATCGATCGAAGTTGATTAGTAAGTGAGCCAGGAACATTTTTGAATCCATTACACTGTTCTCAATTTTGAACACCGAAAAATATAGCTTGTAACTGACCAAAATCTTTCTACTATATATCAGACAGTCGTCCATCCTTTTTCGAACAAATATTTAGTAATTTAAAACGTGAATTTGAAAATAAATATTTCTTTTACTTATACCTTTGCAAAATATTCAATGTCTCGATCGTTATGCAAATTAAACACTAAAAGAAGCTGTAAGGAAAACCGACGCGGAAAATTAAATTTCGATGAAAATAGAAATTATGTTAAAGTTGAAACTAACTATATAATTCTATATGAGACACATATGATTATTTTAAGATTGAAAATAATTGTATAATTCTGTATGAGACACAACTTCGATTATATAACAGTAATCTAAAAGCTTAAACGAATATGAGTCCCATATATAACTACTCCTTCCTAAATTAATATAAACAACTTGAATACATGCATTTAGATACTAACGCATCTTACGTATCCAAATATCAGTCACACCTTAGATCCAACAAGGAATCTAAAAATATAACAGAAAAACACAGCACAACAACAAGTAAATACAATACCCAATTTAAGGCTGAATTAAACCTAAAAATTTTACAAAAAAATTTAATCCCTCTTAATAACGAGATTCGTTAGTTCTTGGATGATTTAAGAAATGATTGGTTGAATGCTACGGAAGAGGATCAATGGATTTACAAAGCCAGAGCCACTAATGGACACAGATTGATGATGTCGTTCATGATCCTTTTACACACCGGCGGTACGAGTTTACGAACAATCACTCCATTTTTGAGAGATAAGATCATCCTACCGAATAACACAACTATAAGATTTTTACCGTGTTCTGGTTACTTTTTCTTCAACGAGCAACTCAGTCCCAATTACGAGATCATTTTTTTCACACAGTCTTCTGCGGATTCATCAATTACACGACATTATCTGGAGTTCTCGGACTTTGCACGATACTTTGTCTACACACGTGCAGCATGCTGAGAATCTTCGGAAATAAAATGAACGAGCTTTCGAATTTGTCGAGAATGGATGAAGACACTGTGCAGAAGAAAATCGTGGATATTGTTGAGTATCACGCGAAATTCAAAGGGTGAGTCTTTTTGTTTAAATAGTAATACATAAGGAGAATAAATCATTTCCTTTTATGCAGTTTGCTTTTCAATATACAGGGCGCACCAATATCTATTGTCGTTTCAAATGTTTCCGATATTATTAATGTTTTGACAAAAAATGTCGCATCTCTAACGTCAACTTTTCGAATTTCAGTTCTTTTCAATATTTTTCGAAATATTTGAACTAGTAAAAATACTTGATCCATCCTATATAATTAATGTGACTTGCTCAGAAATTGACGAGGGTATTTATTCAGTGGAGCCTCCTCTTTGGATTATCTTAGATAATCATTTATCCAAAGTAATACCAATAATCGTGACTCTAATGAAATATTCATTACAGATACTTGAATCGCAGCGAACGCGTCACATCGTTTACTTACTTTGTGGAGATCGCCGGCGAAGTGATAATTATGTGTATATTTGGATATAGCATCATGGTAGGCAACAAACAATTGCAAATATATTGTTAAAAACATATTATGACACAATTCGTAATAGCTATTTTTGTAATTTGTTAATGACCATATTTCAGGAATGTGTAGTGATAACGTACACTTTACTGGAAGTAACGACTATGATCGACACGTTCACAAATTGCTACCTTGATCAACTTCTTATCGATGAGGTATAGCACTGATTATTGCAAACGAGTTTCCTTTGAAATGATAGTATTATGTAATTACATTGTAAAATTTTTTTTGTACCAGGGTAACGGTGTTAAAAAGATATCTAATGCGATATATTGGTATCAGCTGCCTGTGAAAAAGGCACGCAGTTTGACAATGATTATTATTATTATTACATGGAATCATGCAATGAAAGTCACAGCTGCAAATATAATACATTTGTCTCCAATTACGTTCACTGATGTGAGTATTAGCAATATTGTCGTCTTTTATAAGAACATTTTACGAAAGCAACAACTTTATTTAATTTTTCCAACTTCCCGATTGTGCACTCTTCTGCGACGAAAATCGAACAACTCGAAAAAATTTGTTTAACGAAACGAAAAAAATTTTTTTTGTTTGAGGAAGCAACTTAATTGAAAGTAGTGTTATCAACATGTATCTCTTCACAATGATAATCAAAACAGAATTCATAGAAATACATTCTTATAGAACGCAGCACAATGTGATATGAATCAAGAATTCCTTTTTACTACCTGAATTATGAAGATTAATGGGTTAGAGTTTCTTAATGACGATCAACTGTTTCTACAATTTTTTTTTATAGTGACAACTCGAAAATCAGGTTTCCTCAGTTGTGACTTTCGTCGCAAGAGTTATTTATGTAACGCACTTGACTTTGATAAACTATTAATATATATTTCAATGTGTTACGATCCACTATTTGAATATTTGATAAAAACCGATTTACCGATATTTGATGCATGTAACCGAAACTCCCTTCTCGAATGCCGGTCTTTTGCACTCTGCTATTATGCAGTTATGCGACCCCATCGTACAACAAGTCTATTCTCCATTTTTTATTAAGATTCCTCGAAGCTTGTCCGCAATTGTATGTAATTGGGTTCTGATCCTTTCGTATTACATTTACTCACTATTAATCCTCACATTCTCATACTCACTCTAAACTTCACAATCGACAAAGAATTTTTCTAAAAAAATTGACAAATTAATTCAATTACATTGCAACCATATTGTCATGAAATATCGAAATATTTCATTCCTTCATAAACATCTTTTTCTAAAGAATATCTTTGCTTGTTATTCACCACGTTAAACATTAAACATTCCAAATGACATCGTGGACAAATATTATTTCCTCGGCAGTTGAAAAAACGTTAAGAAAAAGGGAGGAAGAGGGTGCTACAGCGTAGTAAGTTGTATTCTCAATCCTAAATAATAATCTCAATTCCAAGTTCCCCATGCATTTATTTATAAAAATCTGAAACTTTGCTATAGTCTTCGTGCACTGTCATCGTTTTGTCAACAGTAATTTGTCGCTGAATTTGCTTGGATTTATGATTTTAGATGCGTAGTCGCAAAGGGAAAAAATCAAAAGGTGAGCAGGTAAGCCCTTTTGATAATATTGAATTCTATCGAGTCAGATTAATCAGTGTTAAGTATAGAAATTAATATAATATTGCCATAGAATTATCATATATTTATTTGTTGAAAGGAAATTTTAATGAATGTCCTATCTGAACAGTAATATATACAGTAATTACTGTATGCATTTCTCTCTATTGTACAAATTTTACAAACTGTAAATGAAGTTCCACTAATATTGACGTTAATTCAAACACATTTCACACTTACTTTAATTCACAACTGAATTACGACGAAATCCTACAATATATCTCGTTTTACTTCGCATACCGTGTATAATATGCCAACAATTTTTCAAAAACAATCTCCTGTAGCAGTGCTCCTGACGCGAAATAACATTTCATCGAACGATCACTATGAAAACTGCTTTCGCTCTGATCGGGAAGGCAAATCCCCGTACGAGGGGATATGGAAGTTGCTATTACGATAGAACTTTACCCGCGAGGGGTAAAAATAATGTAGCAAAAGGAAAACCAGTACGTGTAATTGCAACCAATTTTCCTGTCGTTTCATAAAAATTCAACAACGAATTTACCTAGCGATCCCCTGCCGATACTTAACATTTTACACACGCAAGCGCAATGAGGTACCCGGAACGAGTGCCACTTTGTGCTACGTGGCCTACTAGTCACACAGAGAGATTCGACCCTCTTAAAAGAAAAAAAAAAAAAAAAAAAAAAAGAAAAGAGAAAAAGAAAATGCCTCGAGTAAGAAACGCGGAGGAAGACCTGAGACACTCCATGAGATTGTTGTATCCCCTTTTAAAAATAGTCGGCGCCTGGCCAGATCCTGTCGCAACCCCCGTATCCTCGATTATGCTCAAATGGTGTATGATATTGATCTCGTATTTCTTACAACTACTGTTACTGATCCCGAGCTTCATATACATATTCGGCAAGGAAACGAACAGCAGGAAGCAAGTGAAACTACTGATGCCTCACATTAATGGTTTGAGCCAGCTGATCAAATACACCATACTGTTGCGCCGATTGAAAGAATTCCGAGAAACGATGAAGGACATAAGGGACGACTGGCTGAGCGCCACGGATGAGAATCGGCAAATTTTCCGCGAGAACGCCAAAGTTGGATACAAGGTAGTACTGGGAATAGCAATCATTACGTACACCGGCGGTCTGTGTAATCGTACGATCATGCCGCTCTCGAAGGGAAGAATTGTTTTACCGAATAACACTACTATAAGGTTGTTGTCCAGTCAGAGTTACTTCATATTCTTCGACGCGCAGCGCACACCCAACTACGAGATAATCTTCACTCTGCAAGTTCTTGGTGGATTCATCATCTACACGATTCTATGCGGCACCATGGGTGTCTCTTCCTTACTCTGCATGCATATGTGCAGTCTGTTGAGGATCCTAGCGAACATGATGTCCGAGCTCTCGGAACAGCCCGACGTGAGCGAGAACGCCGTTCAAAAGAAGATCGCGAGTATCGTCGAATATCGGACGAAGATCAAAAAGTAATAACTTCACTCTGCTGATATGTAAAATAGAATGTGTCAGATATTACAGCACGGCGTGTGTGTGCGTGTGTGTGCGTGCGTGTGTGAATTAATTTTCAGATTTTTAAACAACGTCGAACAGATTACTCCCTACATATGTTGCTTCGAGATTATCAACGACACGTTGATCACTTGCGCGATCGGATACTGCATTATCATGGTAGGTGATTCAAACTGTTGATTTCAAGTTCGTTGAAAATTGAAACGAATGTGTTATAATTGCCTACGTAACTCTGTCGTTGTGTCGTGTTTCAGGAATGGGAAAGCAGCAACACCGCTGCTTTAATTGTTTACATCTCGTTACAAATAAGTACTATATTTATTAATTTCACCATGTGTTATATTGGTCAACTTCTTATCAACGAAGTAACTATCAATTATTTGTCAATTGTTATTCTTTGAAAGAAATTCTTTACTTTAGTAATAGAATACACGAGCGAGTGTTTATTCTGAATTTTTATGATCGGTGGATTCTTCAAATTTTTATGACATAGCGTATTCTGGTAAATTATATAATCCCATTTTGGATATTTCACATTTCCACTTTCTCAGAAATATACATTTTAATTAAAATTTTTATGAACACCGCTGAAGAGATACAACTTAAAAAAAAAATTTGTATCACAATGTACTATACATTAGATGTTTTATACATTACAAAATAGCTACTTTATGTTAGGCATTCCTTGTACATTATAAGCATCAAGTGCATACATTTTGCTTTTAGTAACAAATTGTACCTTTTAACAGAGTGAACATATTAGTCGAACGTCCGCCACTTTGAACTGGTACCGATTTTCCTCGAGAAAGGCGCGATGCCTGATACCCGTGATCATTATATCGAATTATCGAATAAAAATCACCGCTGCCAAGATTGTAGAGGTATCTTTGGCCACATTCACCGATGTGAGTATAAAGTAATTCGAATTTCGAATCTACCGATCTTCGAACGTCCTGCAAAACGATTATTTCAGATCATGAAGGCGTCAATGGGCTACTTGAATGTATTACGAAATGCTCTCTAATAGAAATTTGAAAAGCAACTTTAGAACCCACGAACGTGCCTTTACGCTTATCATAGATCTTGTTAAATATAAAGTGTATTGTACGATAGTTCGTTGAAGACGATATAAAGATTTGTTCTTGGAAAATAACAGTTCCTTATTTTTCCACGGAACTTCTCGAAACATTTCACAACGGTGGATTTCAGAATCGTTGTCGCGTTATTCTCTCCGTTTTTTCACTCGGCAATTCTAGCATGATTCACCCTCGTAACTTGCATAAAAGTCCTCTACGATCCTGTAAAACCTCGCAATGGTAGATTTTGAAATCATTGTCGCATTTTTTTCTATTACTTTGTATTCTAAGAATTCAAGCTACGAGCACGATTTCCCCCGTATGAAATCCTCCTTTTTTAAAAAATAATTGCTGCAGAGGTTACCCCTTCAACGGGGTTGAAAAAAAAGGTGAATTGCACGAGCTATTACGATGAAACTTCCCGCTCGCGAGGGGAAATTGCTCAATATAGACACAGTATACACACGTGTAATTTAATTCAATTTTCCCATCCTTTTGTTCAAGCTCGAATCTCTTCGCGTATAAAGATCGTTTCAATAATTCGACGCTGAATTCGCATAAACTTTACATTTCACGTACGCAAGCGCGACGTGGCTCTTGAAAGTGACGTGTGTCATAATGTGGTCAGTCACGATCGTGCATCAATTGAATAAAGAGAATGTCGCCGGCAAAGAACGCGGAAGATGATCTGAAGGATTCCCTGAGCGTTTTGCATTCTATGTTGAAAATAACCGGTGCCTGGCCAAATCCTACCGAATCCTTCTTGCCCTCGGTAATCCTAAGTACCTGTATTATCTTTACATCTTATTTCATGCAACTGCTGACGCTAATCCCGGGCGTACTGTATGCATTTGTGATAGAGAAGAATGGCAGAAGGCAGGTGAAATTGCTTACGCCTCATATCAACAATTTGTGCCAGCTGATCAAATACACCATACTGTTGCGCCGGATGAAGGAATTCAGAGGAGCAATGGACGAGATAAAGAGCAGTTGGTTGAACGCAACTGAAGAAAATCGACGAATCCTTCGTACGAACGCGAAGATCGGACGAAAGGTGATAATAGGAGTAGCAGTCACCATGTTCAGTGGCGGTTTGTCTTATCGAATATTCACTCCATTTCTGAGAGGGAAACTCGTCCTGCCAAACAACACCACCATAAGAATGCTAGCCTGTCCAAGTTACTTTATATTCTTCGACGAACAGCTTACACCGAACTACGAAATAATTTATGCTCTGCAAATTATCGGCGGATTTTTCACCTATTCGGCTCAGTGCGCCACTATGGGAGCCTATGCGATGCTTTGCTTGCACATGTGTAGCCTAATGCGCACTCTGACCAACAAGATGAACGAGCTGTCCGATCAACCTGACATGAGCGAGAGTGCCGTGCAAGAAAAGATCGCGGACATCGTTGAGCATCGAACGAAGATCAAACGGTGAGATAACAAATTTTACATTCGTTAATAAATATATTGTAGAGTTGAAACACCTGATAACAAGATACACATAATGAGAGAAATAATAGCAAGAATTAACATTAGAATTGAAAGAGTGATGAAAGCAGCCCAAAGTATACTGAGTGCAAATGTTTTTCAACGTACACTTCGTTTCAATTCCTCGCGAATTTTACACTTCATTTATAAATCGTTAAATCTAGTGTTGAAAATGACGTTTTGATTCACCTCCCCTCCCCCTTTTTTTCGTTCATTCAGCAATCTTATTTCAGATTTCTGACAAATATCAATCGAATAATCCCGAACATATGTTTCTTCGAGATGATCAACGACACGTTAATTGTTTGTTCAATCGGATACTGCATTATCATGGTAACGTCTCGTGAAAAATTCAAACAACGTGATAATCGTGTTCATAACGTCGATGATATTTCAGGAATGGCAAGATAGCAATGGCGTCGCTATAGTAATTTACCTTGTAATACAAGCAAGTTGCACGTTGAGTAACTTCGCGATGTGTTATATCGGTCAACTTCTAATCGACGAAGTACATTATCAACAATTTTTTATAATTCCCTGCCCAAATACCGCACAACAATATATAACATAGAACATTAATATTAACACGATATGCAATAATCAATTTACAAGAATAATAATTTTACCTTCAATAGTCCGAAACAGTTAGACGAACGTGCGCAACACTGAAGTGGTATCGATTCCCCGTGAAGAAAGCACGTTACCTCGTACTGGTGATTACTATATCAAATTATCGGATAAAAATCACCGCTGCCAAGATTGTAGAGGTATCATTGGCTACCTTCACCGATGTAAGTATAAAGCAATTCGAATTTCGTATCTTCGGATATTCTGCGAAAATGATTTTTCCAGATTATGAAGACATCGATGGGCTACTTAAACGTGTTACGAAGTGCTCTCAAATAAGAACTTCAGAAGTAAATTTGGAATCTATGAACGTACCTTATTACAGAACTTGTTAAATATAAGGTGCATTGTATGACAATTCGTTGAAGATGTTATAAATATTTGTTCCTGGAAAATAACAGCTCTTCATTTTTCTATGAAACTTGTCAATGTATTTGGTAGGATTTGGCCAGGCACCGGTTACTTTCACACTGGTAGATCCTGAAATAGCTGTCGCGTTATTTTGCCCCCCTTTTACTCAGAATTCCAGCAGTTGAAACCACGAGCACGATTTGCCAAAAAAAATTTCTCCCCGATCCATCCATTTCACGATGATAGATTTTCAAATTATCGTCGCGTTGTTTCCTTCGTTTCAATCTGTGTTACAAGTTGGAAGCACGTTCGCGTATAAAATCCACGTTCGCGTATAAAATCCACTTTTTTTTAAATAATTGCTACAGAGATTACCCCTTCAACGGGGTTGAAAAAAAAGTGAAATTGCACGAGCTATTACGATGAAACTTCCCGTTCGCAAGGGGAAACTGCTCAATATAGACACAGTATACACATGTGTAATTTAATTCAATTTTCCCCATACTTTTGTTAAAACTTAAATCGCTTCGCTTCGTATAATAATCGTTTCAATAATTCGACGCTGAATTCGCTTTGAATAAACTTTACATTTCACGTACGCAAGCGCGACGTGGCTCTTGAAAGTGACGTGTGTCATAATGTGGTCAGTCACGATCGTGAATTCATTGAATAGAAAATGTCCCTGACAAAGAACGCGGAAGATGATCTGAGGGATTCCCTGGGATTTTTGTATTCTATGTTGAAAATAATCGGTGCCTGGCCAAATCCTACCGAATCCTCCTTGCCCTCGGTAATCCCAAATTTCTGTATTATTTTCACATTTTATTTGATACAGTTGCTGACACTGATCCCGGGCGTTCTGTACGCGTTTGTGATAGAGAAAAATAGCAGAAGGCAAGTGAAACTGCTCACGCCTCAAATCAACAATTTGTCCCAGCTGATCAAATACACCATACTGTTGCGTCGAATGAAGGAATTCAAAGGAATAATGGACGAGATAAGGAACAGTTGGTTGAACGCAACTGAAGAAAATCGACGAATCCTTCGTGCGAACGCGAAGATCGGACGAAAGGTGATAACAGGAATAGCAGTCATTATGTTCAGCGGCGGTCTGTCTAATCGAACGATCACACCACTTGTGAAAGGGAGAATTGTCCTGCCAAACAACACCACCATAAGAATATTATCCTGTCCAGGTTATTTCGTATTCTTCGACGAACAGCTTACGCCGAATTACGAAATAATCTATGTTCTGCAAATTTTCGGCGGTATCTGTACCTATACGACATTGTGCGCCACTATGGGAGTTTGCGCGATGCTTTGTTTGCATATATGCAGCCTGCTGAGGATCTTGACGAACAAGATGAAAGAGCTTTCCGATCAGCTTGACATAAGCGAGAGTGCCGTGCAAGAAAAGATCGCGGACATCGTTGAACATCGTACGAAGATCAAACGGTACGTTAACAGATTTTACATTCGCTAATAAATATATTGTAGAATTGACTCATTTGCTAACAAATACACATAATGAGAGAAATAACAACGAGGAATTAACATTAGAATGAAAAGAGTGTTGTAAATTATACTGAGTGAAAATCGTTTTCCATGTATCTTTCATTTTAATTTTTCGCAAGCTTTACACCTCAAGTTGTGCCGTTAGATTTAGCGTTAAAATGACGTCTTGATTTTTTCTTTTTTTTTTTTCATCGATTTAGTAATTGAATTTCAGATTTTCGACAAACATCGATCGAATAATCCCGAGCATGTATTTCTTCGAGATGATTAACGACACGTTAATTGCTTGTGTAGTCGGATACTGCATTATCATGGTAAAATTTCGTTAAAAATTCAGACGGCGTGATGATCGTATTCGTAACGTGTTGCGTCTTATTTCAGGAATGGGAGAATAGCAATAGTACCGCTATGGTAATTTACCTGATATTAGAAACAAGTTGCGTGTTCATCAACTTCACAATGTGTTACATCGGCCAACTTCTTATCGACGAAGTACATAATTAATAATTTTTCACAATGCCTTGTCCAAATATCGCGCCACAATATATTTAACGTTACAATATCAAATATTAATGCAATATTTAATAATAAATTTATAATACAATAAACTTTACCTTTTATAGTCCGAAACAGTTAGACGAACGTGCACAACACTGAACTGGTATCGATTTCCAATGAACAAAGCACGTTACCTCGTGCTGGTGATTATTATATCAAATTATCGGATAAAAATTACCGCTGCCAAAGTTGTAGACGTGTCTTTAGCCACCTTCACGGACGTAAGTACAGAAACAATTTAAATATTGTGTAAAACGTCCTGAAAAATATTGTTTTCAGATCATGAAAGCGTCGGTAGGATATTTAAACGTATTGCGAAGTACTCTACAGTAGTTGAAGCTGCGAGGCTTGTTAAATGTGATGTTAAATGTAATGTGACAGTGTGTAAAATAAATAGAATACTAGCGTATTTCCATATATTCGCAGCACTGTTCGATTTACTTCGTAACGAAGAGTTTTAAAATCGTTCTCGTGTTTACTCTCCCCGATTTTTAATAATTGAAGCGCGCGATTCCCGGTAGAACTCGTTCCCCTTCGATCTACACTCCGCGAAACTTTGCAGACAACTGTTTGAAGCTGCAAGCATTGTGAACAGCTACGTCCATTAATTTTCTATAAAATGCAGAAGATCCTTTTGCACAAAAATCCGTTTGAATAAAAAAATTCGGATCACCATGTTTCGGAAAGATAGAACCGATTTGAAAACAAATTCGCAACGGATCGCGACATAATGAATGCATAAAATAATAAATGCATAAAACGAACAATGCTTAGAACAAATACTTACGTAAATATTCGTATATCTTAATAATTACAACGAGCTTTGAGAGGAACACGATTCTTTTTACTACGTCATTCTATTACAAACCATACATTATAGACCATAAGTTGCTCAGGGAAATCCCTCTTGCAATAAAGTTCCTCCGTCGCTCCGCTCTGGGAAAGCAATGTGTTCGTGGAAAGTTTAGCCGGGTAATTTCAACCAATTTACATATTTCTCCATTCTGTGCAATGAAATCGTTTCGATAACAGTAATTCGCATGTTGAATTCGCATGACAATCGGTGGCCATACACGCAAGCGCAATCTGTATCACAGTCAATTGTTTACACTTACGTAGTCAGTCGCGTCGAAGCGTTCAACCATGGAAAATATATCAGAACGGACGAAGGCGGAGGAGGATTTGAAGTACGCCACGAGATACGTGAAGCTATTTCTAAGGCCAATCGGCGCGTGGCCTGCTTCACCTTCCTCCTCTTTCCTCTCGAGAATTTTCCTCAGACTAAGAAACGTTTTATCGTACTTTCTGCTGCTTCTGATAATGATACCACCTCTCATGCAAATGTTCCTGAAAGAGAACAGCGTCAAGGTTATACTGCGTATTATGGGACCGACGATTAACTGCATCATGCAGTTCTGCAAATATACGATCCTCTTGCGGCAAATGGACAGGATCGAGAAAATTGTGAACGCGATGAAAGAGGACTTGACAAGTGCAACGCAGGAGAACCGATTGATTTTTCGCTCGAAAGTGAAGATCCTGAGGAGAATAGTTGTAATCGCTGCGATCACTATGTACGGCGGTGGTGTATGCCACAGGACGGTTGTTCCTCTTCTCAGAGGGACTATCGTCACTCCTGACAATATCACCATAAGACCATTACCCTCCCCGACTTACCTCATAATTTTCGACGAGCAACAGTCGCCGACTTATGAGGTGCTGTTTGTGCTGCAAGTTTTCGCTGGATTTGTTGCCTATGCAATTGTATGCGGTATCTCTGGCATGTCCGCTCTCTTGGTTCTCCATACGTGTAGCATGCTGAGGATCCTAGCGAACAAGATGAACCGGCTCGTGAAGAAGGATATGCCTGAGTTGATGGTTCAACAGAGGATCGCGGATATCGTTGAATATCAGATGAAAATAAAGAGGTGAGTGAAATTCCTTTCTGCGAGGAGAAACTTATGATTGCAGCGGAGTACGACACATCGATGATTCGATGACACGAAGCGGACGAAGTTTTATCGACAATGGCGCGTTGTACGGCCTGTATTCGTAAATTGATTGCAGATTTTTAAAGAACATTGAAACGATTACAGAGAACATTTATCTGATCGAAATGGTGGGCTGCTCGTGTCTCCTGTGTCTCATCGGATATTATATCATCATGGTAAGAGTGACACTACAGACGTTCGTGCAAATTCATATTTTTACAAACACGAAACGATGAAATGTAACCTAAATAAACTATTTATAAACGATTTGAATTTGCGATTTAACGAGTCGTGAGAAAGCAATTTACAATTAACGAGTTGAATCTCTTCACATTTACATTTAATTTCGTGCACTTTCATCATTTTTCACTTGAAAAATACATATAAAATATAAATACATGAACATTCGTAGTCTAATGATAACATTACCTGTT